GTTTATTTCAACAGGACAAGGGAAATACCAGGGGCTGCTCTTGGCTGGTATTTCAATGTTGCCTGGATTTAGAGATCCACATCCTGTTTGTTTACAGCATATACTCCACAGCATTAAATGAGCATGGATGTGTGCACATTTATGAGTCCAGCTGCCTGCAATGTATGTAACACCACTTACATGGAGAGACTTTTTCCTTCTCTTTCATGTCTTTCATACCTGCATATGCAAGACTGCTATCTAGCTTATGAAAGACATCTGGATAGTTTGATTTATACAGTCCTGATACAATGTTGTGTATATATTTAATATAATGAAGTTATGTTTTAAATGGGAATGGTATTAGAAACATTAATAAGAAAGATATTCTAAACTAATATTATGGCTGATATTGCTTGGTACAATAAATGTAATATTTAAACAAATACTTTAAAAACTTCCAAAAATGGTAAGTTTTGCTATTATTCCTTTCACAGACAGATATGAATTTGGCATACTGTAACATCATAGCAGTGTTACATAAATATTTACCTTTTAGTTTGTCTCTCTTCTTGGCAATGTAGCTCGTTACTAAAGATGGCTTTTTTTTATATTAACCGTTGAACTGCTGTCTTTGCCCTTTCACAACAGCCTGACAGCTTTTGTTAAATCAGGAGTTTGCTGGTCAGTCCTGATTGTCGGAGGCAGCAATGACACTCTATATATCATGCTCACATGGAAACAAGCTGAAAGGGATATATTAATACCAAATTGTTTCCATATCCATTTAAAGATAATATTTTTATTGATCTTGATAGTTATTACCAAACTGTTCACCAATTATTAACAACCACTCAGACAGTCAATGTAAGCAATTTCAACGCTATTCAAAATCTGTTACTTGAAAGCTGTCATGTTTTCATAACTTATGTGGTTGTGGTGGTAGGGTTTAAATCCCAGGTCTGTGTCACAAAAAGCATTTATCCTGCAGTTTTAATGTCTTGACTTTGTCCTGCCCTGAGTCAACCATTATTTGCTTTGATTTGCCTGTCCCAAAATATTTGCTGGTTTTCTATTTAAATGTTCCTGCTACTCTGAGCAACAACAGTGGGTCCCTTACCCTAAAGAAGAGGAAACAGGAATCACATCTTTTCTGCTAATTGTTCTCACAGTGTCTAAAGGTGGGGTAATACGCCATGATCCTAAAGATGATCATGGTTAGTGAGGGCCTGCCATGATCTTGATGACGAATATGATCAAGATCTCATGTGTGTGTCAGGAATACAGCAGCACTGGGAGTAAGAAGGGAGGGTTACCAGCCCATCAGCAGTGGGAAGGTGGGCTCAAGCACTGGGAGGGCAACTTAGGGTGGTGACCCCGCTTCAGCATTGACCCGAGCCCAGACATCACAGAAATGGTTAGTCAGGGGATGACCGGTACAATTAACATTGGACTGTACACATTATTATGTTCCACTTTAAAGAGCCTACGCAACACTTGGTTGCAAGATAGCCTCCTCTTTTCAACATCTGTGCCATGTACCAGATCTTTCTGATGAGGTTTCCCTTTCTGTTTGAAGGCTAACCTACAGAGTCAGAAATAAAAAGTTAACCCGCTTTGACAATTTTACCAGCAGTGGCTCAGAGATGGCAGGCTCTAGGGCAGCACAGACCTTGTGCACCTATGGGTATAGCCCAGGTTCTATTTTGCATTTGTGAACAGAGACAAATACTTCAAATTTCACCCAGAGATCTTTAACCTTCATTCTGCTTGTCTTCTAAATTTTCACAGCTGTGTAATATCATATAACTTCTCAGTAATTACAACTAAAGTACAGCATATTTTTAGTAGTTTGTTTTATTCTCTGTCACTTAACAAGTGCTGAATCAAATAATTTTGTTTCATCTTTAAAATGACAGAACAGAAAATTCAGAAATATTATAGTTATTTTAATAATGGTATAAAGCATATCTTTTAAAAGACAACATTTACCATTTTAGAATAGTGTCTATGGTGCCGTATTTTCCCTACCCTATTGATAAATATTGATTTTTTAGGAACAATTGTAGTGGTTTATTTCCTTGTTTGTTTGTTTGTTTTAATGGAAAAGCAGACTAATTTCTACAGATTTCATCAACAGTCTTATTAATATTCAGTAACCTAAAACCTAGAGAGACACAGGAGTGCTCAGTCCTGAAACCCTCTTTGGACATAGTTTTAAGGAATATATAGCACAACTGAAATTAGGACACCAGAGCTTGAGAGAGAATCAAAGTACCATATCAAACAGTCAACAAAATTAATAGTAAAAGTAAAGCAGACATGGTGAGAATTTTGTGCTGTATTTGGAGAATGACATTGATGTCATTTAGACTTTATAAGGATTTCAAACCTTTAATTATTCCTTCAGCTGTAACAGTACCTTTGCCAATTACTTATTCCCATACAAAAGGGCCTAGGTTTGAATTTCTGGGTTTATTATACAACAAAAGGTTACGGATCATAAAAGTTCAACATGGGAAACTACAATGCCCACCTTGTTTTGTTTGGGTCTTGTTCTAAGTGCACCAGCAATGTTGCAATCACAAGTTGATGGTATTTGTTCCAGCCACGCAAAGTAAATTCAGTACACAGTGTGCTTTCAGCCACTATAAAGTTTAATCTTTGAGTAAGGACACAGTTCCTAACATTTATTAAATGAACTTTGGGTATCAATTCCATTGCTGCTGGGTAAGCTGTTATGATTAACTTTGGGGTAGGCCAGCTGCTGTGCAATTGTTGTTCATTTATGCTTCTTGATTGCTATCTATATTCTTGGCACTCTGTGAAAAGCTTGAAATAGAAAAATATTGAATAAAAACCCAGGGTATTCTACCAATATTGAGGAAAGTGCAATTTTAGCTTATTTTCTTGGTTTTAATGTTAGACTTTTTCCAGTCCCTGCCAGGTAAAAGTTAGGATAAGACAGTTAAATGAGCAATTCATGCTGGCCTGCTTTTCCTGGTATGGATATTCCACAAAAGGCAACAGTTTAGTAGAAGGGGTTAGGTGATGACTGGGAAAATCAAGACAGCTGGTGTCTGCTGAGGGAAATCACTGTAGGGACATAACAGAGATCCTCAGAGTTGGAATGAAGTATGAAAAAATATCAAAATGAACACAAGTAATATTAGTTTGCTGTAATACCCTTTGGAGTTCAGACAATAATAATCAGACATTGGCAGTAATAAAATATCAGGAGTATGTTTTCATTTTATGCCTAAAGGCTGGATGGGAGGCAGGCAAATGTCACCAATGTCAGGGTGACAAATGATGTGATAGCTGTGTACATTAAATTGGAACTAAACAGATTATCAATAGAAATTACTGAATAAATAATGAATAACATCAAATGGTTAGGATCACCTTAAACAGAAGAGAGTTATACTGATTATAAAGCAATGACAGCTAAAAGAGTTACCCAAGGATCATGTCGTGAAAGCCTGAAGTCATGCAAGGCAAGGAGGTTCACCCCTCAAAAGCAGGAGTTGCAGCATGTGCTGAAGACCAAAACCAGAGAGGTTTGAATTCCTGGTGTTTTGCAGAGAAGCTTTCAGGCAGGAACAGGAGAGGAAAGAGCCTCCCATGTACATGACCAGCAGCTGTAATCCTGCTGAGCAATGAGGACATATAGACTGTCAGCAGGCATGTTTGCTGTATGTTTGTATGAATATATAATCACATGCTGATTATGGTAATATGGCACCACCCCACTTCTGGCACCCATAGTACAACCCCTGGGAAATAACGGCATTATGATGTGAAAGTGTTCAGAATGAGATTGTGCAAATAGTCTTTCCAAAGGAGGAGAAGGAACTACCTTTGAGAACTATAATCAAAAGCTCCACTGTTTCCCATATATTTTTATCTAGCACTTATTGAATTGTATAAGGGTTTATGTGTAGCTGAGGTCCACAGTCATCTTCTGCCCTTAAGCAACCCTTGAAATTCCCCTCATTGTCAGCTCTTGGACATTTTAACTTGGCCAGTGTAAACATTTTGGTATGTGCTGGTTCAGTCTGGAGGGCTAGTCCTCCTTTTCTTGTAAGATTAAGACAGGCAGAAAACCAACAATTACAGAAATAGGTGTTTGTGATTTCATCAGTAAAGTAATTCAACTTTTTTTCAAGGCAACAATTATATATGAGAAAGGGCTTTTCTCCCAGTATGTGTGGCTAAGTGTCTCTGTGAAATTAGCCAATCACCAACAGCAAGGACAGTCTAGGCTTTCTCTAAGCTTGCTAACAGTGTACTTCTGGTGAATACATCAGTCATTTCCTCTTGATTGGTGATTCATATCTTCATTTAATGGAATAAATTCTGCTTTTTCTGTAAAAGATTAAAAGCATTATGTTTCTGCTTTTAAATCTTGATTAGGATCACATTCAATGAAGCACCAATCCACAAAGCCAAAGGATTTTGGTGAAAAATAAAAGAACCCCTCCCTAATCTCTCATTATTTTTCTCCTGTAACTTGAAAACAGAGAGGTATTCTTGCTTGATTTTTACTCTGCTTAAGTGGTTCTTTCTTTGTTTCCTTCAATTGACTGTGGTGGGGTTTTTTTAGCCTTGACATTCATTTCAGGAAGAGGTGCTATTGGTTATTTTTTGTTAGGATTTTCTTTTTTTTTTTTTTGGCAGGAGAGAGTGAAGAGAAATCAAAGCAAAGATTAATAAAGTAGGCTTGTCCTAGGTACTACACGTACTATATACACTAAACCCAAGGATTGGGTTTACTTCTGTCGAGGCATGTAACAGAAAGGCCTCCCATCATTACCAATCCTGTCAGCATACGAAACCCAGGTAGTTTTAGGTAGCTGATTTAAGTCTGTACCTCCCTTGTACATCACAGACTTCAGTTTGAGAGAGGAAGGACCTCTTTGTAAGAGAATCTTTTTATGATATGAAACAAAGTGAAAATATCATTTAGAGAAAGAAAGTTTGATTACTAAGGTTAATTTTAAAAAGCTGTTCCTGGTTAAGTGCATATGTGATTACCCACCTCATCAGAATAATGTAGAAACTGCTATTCCATTTTTAATTCAGGCAGCTCTCAGCTATGAAAGAGAGATTTATTCATTAAAACAGATAACAGACAACAGCTATATATATGCTACTAATATTGTTTCACTGTTTCTTTTTCTGCAGATATTTATAAACAATGAGTGGCATGATTCAGTTAGTGGTAAAAAATTTGAAGTCTTTAACCCTGCTAATGAAGAGAAAATCTGTGAGGTTGAAGAAGGAGACAAGGTACGGTTTTCTTTCTTACTCTTAACTCTAGCTTTAAATTCAATTATTCTCCTTAAAAGAAGGCAGGCAAGCATCCATCTGTGCTGATATAACACACCACCTCATAGATGTACCTACTTCATCCTGTATACCTTCTTCTGCAAACAATTCTTAGCTTTTCTACTAAGCCTTAATATTTTTTTTTTTTTGTAAACAGACACTGAAAAACTGCTTTACTCTTAGGATCTTGCTTATAGGAGGAAAGTTCTGAAGAAATATTTTTTTGTTAATTTAATATTGATTCTTTTTGTTATCTTTGATAGGTGGCATCTAATAATTTAGTTGGGGGGGGTTGTTATTTTTTTCTGTCTCTTCCTTACACAGTGATATAATCCATTCACTACACATTTATAAAAGGTTTTTCATTACAGATAACATGAAGTGAACAAATACTGATATTTTCCCATACAGACTCTGCAAAGATGATAATTAGCATCAAATTAGCATTTTTAGCTATGAATATGTCTTCTCACTACTGCCGCTTTCAAATATTTGGTTTTGTGAAAAAGGTATCAGAACATAGTCCTAAAAAAGACTCTTAAGATGAATGTAACCTATCAAATAGATACTAATTCCACCAAAACTGGTTTCCTTACAGCATGTTGAACTAATGAATTTAAGCAGAGGACTAAAAAGATTGTTGGCACCTGTAAACAAACATTCATTTTTTTTCATATTTATCAGGTCTCTTTGTGGAAAAATACAGGTAAATGCCATGAAATCAAAGATATAATGAAAACCTAACCCCTCAAATAAACAGCTCTGTATTTTTGTTATAGTATGTATTTTTCCACTATAAAGAATTTGCCTAGTGCTACTATACAGCTTAAATATAAGTTATCAAGACAAAGATGGCTGAAAAAGTCTGCATGAGTCTGTCTTTTGACAATTTCATATATCTAACAATGAGTTTTTCAAATGCCTTGTTCTTGCTTTTCTTTAGTCCTGGTTACCTGTATGTAGTGCTAAGAGTCACTGAGATTATTTCAGGCTCTTTTTGTCCTCAGCCAAAGAATTTCATAAGCACATTGTTAACTTCTGAATCATATTCTACTAGAACCATACATGCTTTTGATGTAAAATGCTACTTCTTCTACCTCTTCTCTGTTCAATGTTTAAAAACCAAATTATGTTGCAAATCAGGTTGGCCTGATATTTGATCATCCTCAAATTAAATTAGTCATGACCTGCAACTGTTCGCTTACCATTGAGAATTTTTGTATCTTTCATTCCTTACAAATGATCTAACAACTCATTAAATAAAGAGATAACACTGTTCAACACACAGGTTTGCTTTCTTTCCAATAATTTTACAATGAAAACTTCTATTAACTAAATTGCCAAGTGAAATGCACAAATCTAGTGAATTACACAGTCATTGTGAACCTAATATTCTAGAGCCTAGTCTTTAGATAATGAGCCAAGAGATTTTAGGAATTTAATTTGTGTGTACAATAGGGTTGACAAAGGGCTGTACACTGCCTTGCAGTGGTATTTAAAAAAAACAAGTGGAGATTACAAAGCACAGACATATATGTGGGTGGGAACTGTTTTCCTTTCAGCTTGATGGCTCTTTCAAGCTACATTCGCTAATCCTAAAGGCCCCTAGTAATAATAAAGCAGCTCAACAAATGGTCAGTGGGATGTAAAATAAATGCACTTCTGTAAAAAGTCTAAACTATCTCTGAAAGGAGCTATCAGTCTTTATAGTCATGGTGTAGATTTATGTACCCAAATTAAATTTCATACAGTTGAAGAACATCTTTTTTTCCTTACTTTTCATTCACAGCTCTGTATTAGCTTTATAGCATTTTACTTGGTTTTAACTATTTCTGCGCTTTTAGTAAAAAGAACACATGGCACTTTATTTAGTTTTAATTTACATCATTCACACAAGTACAACTTACCATTTCCCCTTGCTCTTTTCCAGTAAAGACCAAGTCATATTGAAAAGCTGTAGAATTTTTATGATATTTGTGATAGAAAGAGATGAGAAAAAATATAATTAATTGAATATTCATTAAATGCAGTTTTTTGGGTCACAGATAAGTGATGAGGTGTTTGATGACATTCTGACAGATTCTGAAGCAATTCTTTTTAATCTGGTAGATTTTAGCTACCTGATATAGGTGACTGACTGGTCAGTATTACCCTATAGTAATTGCTGTGCTACTTGTAGAGATCTTTCCTATCTTTTCCCAAACTTCCTGGAAAGAACTGTAGGAAGTTCTGTAGGCCTTCTGTCTAGCAGGTCTGTGCTTGCTTTCCAAGCCACTTACCCACCTCACTCCTGGCTTTTAAAAATTAGTATTTGGCTACCAACATCAGTTAAAGATTTGAGAACTGGTTCATGTTTAGAACAACTGACTTTGGTGTTCACTTAGTCAATTTTACTGGTTTAGTCAACCTTGGTAGTGGTTTCTTTGGAGGAGACTCTAGCAACGAGCAGTACAGAAAAAAGGTTGGAAGAATCCTTTAAACAATGCATGCAAATTGCTCAGGGAAATGTGCCATGTATGGATTCCTCCTTTTTTTTTCCCTCAAATTTGTTTTTAATTTCTAACAAAATGCTAGGACAAACCTCCTCTTTATGTCATTGTTTTCCTGGGAAAACTTTTACAAAAATTGTGAAATATAAAATTCCAAGCACTAAAAGCCTGGAACACCCTTGCACAGAAAAAAGTTTCATAGATTCATTGTAAATTTTCCTACTATGGTGAAAGCCAAATAACAAATAATACATTATGTCATAAAAAACATTTATGGACTTACAAATTAGCTTGCTTAATGCAAAGACAATGCTTAGACTTTAGAATATTTAGGCTTAGCATTTTAAACCTGGTGAATCAGTCAATTATTAAATTTATTTTAAATACAAATAGTCCTTAAAACTTTCAGAAATATAATACATTGATTTGTCTTCCTCAATAATAAATTTTTGGTCATTTTATGAGACATTCCGAGGAACAGGTCCTTCCAACCTTGTCTTCACACCACCAGATACTTCTAGATACTGTTGAGTACTTAAATATTTAACTTACAGATTTGGACATCTCTTTGTACATAAAAGAGATTGAATTGCATCAGCAGTGTAATTGGTGGGTGTATCTCCAATTAAAAACATGAGAAGGCAGAGGGTTTGAAAACAAATTTTAAAAATAGAGTTCCTTAATATGTTTCTATTTTAGAAGCTTTGAGAACCCATCTTTTCTCAGACAACTTCACATTGCTGAAATTATAGCAGAAGTATTTGAAAGAAAATAACCCATGTATCTAAAATTACTGTACCAATTCTGATTAGATTGGGGTTTGTGTCTGTTATTTATCTTGCAAAACATCTTGCATGTTTAACAACTAGCAGACTGATTACAGAATCAATTCCTGATTCTAAAAGTTTCTCTGTTTTCCCCACAGGCAGATGTAGACAAGGCTGTTAAAGCAGCTAGAAAAGCTTTTGAGCTTGGGTCACCCTGGCGTACAATGGATGCTTCAGAGCGAGGAAGGCTCTTGAATAAACTAGCTGACTTAGTTGAAAGAGATCGGCTGATTTTAGCTGTGAGTATGATACGTGAACAAAAAGACTGGGAAAAAGACTATGTCCTGATTTTTAAAGAATGATATCAGAAAGCATAACACGCTAAATCCTTGGAAAGTCATGTTGTCTCAATTCTTGTTTTTCATCTGTATTGCAAATGAATCTCATTAAACTGGCTTGCACTCTGGTCTATTAACACCCCACATCCACAAAGTACTTGAGTATTTGATTAGTTTTAAGATGATACTTAAGCCACCTACAACTGATGCAATTTCAGTTGTTGTTCTTAAGGACACACTAACATAGACCATGTGCTTAACACTTGTCTAAACCAAGGCCTGAATCAAGGTCTGAGCTCAAAGTCTGCTCAGTGCTTACAGATGACACAAGTCCGAACTGTGAGAAATTTTGAATTTCATGTCTATATATTTTGTTATCACTGGTCCTTCATTAACTGCAGCCTGTAACTGGCAATGAATGAAAAATCTTAACCAGAATCAAAGGCAGCAATTAATTACTTATTTAGTAGAAATAACATGGAGGGTAGAAATTTTGTTCTATCTTTGCCAGATTCTGTGTATTGGCCATTTTACAACTGTTGCCAGCAGACACATAAGTTGTAGCACCAGCACCTACCAATTGTACACTAACACAGGAAAGAACATGTAAAATATAAATGCACCGTTAATTCCCATCTTGTTTTAAACCCCACATATGATGCTACCATTAAGATGATCTCTTTGCTATTTCAAGCACTTTTGCGAATTAACATTTTGGCGGATAATTGCACTCTCCTAAAGACAAGCCCTGGTTTTCTGCCAACAGCGTCAAAAATTTAAGAGAGAAGGAAGGGTATCAAACATTCAGGATGATCACACAGACCACACTATTGATAAGCTTATAAAATGTAAACCTTCAAAATTTGTAAAACCTGCAACAAATCTATTGCCCATTTTATTGTCCTTATGGCTGTTATATAGGACGACACTTACATGTGTCCCAAAGAGGTTTTTAAAAGAAAAATGAAAATTTAAAGGAACTGGGGTTATTTCCTTGCAACTGTCAAATTTACGATTTTCTTCCAAGTTATTTCTCTAAATGAATCTTGTCAGTTGATAAGGACTGATAATCACCTAGTTTCTCAGGAGAAAGCTTGGGTGGCTAGAAATCATGTTCTTGACAATTTTAGATTTATAGAGGTTAAGAAAGACAAAATTTTAAGATAGTTACATTTTGAATAGGAAAAGTATGCCCCCTTGCCGGTTAAGTACTGGATAAACTGGCATTTTCTTCCTTCTTGTACAGCCTAAGGCATTACACATGCAAAAAGGATGGAGAAATAATCTTTTTTCCACAGGAGGGCTGAAACATTAAGAAAGTTTTTGTTCCCATTTGCCATTTTCATAATATGAAAGTATTGCTTTACTCTGAGGCCCTCCCAAGTTACTATTTTACTGACATTGTTTTTATTTCCTACGTGTTGCTCCCATTCTTGACTACTTTTCCTTCTTAGATAAGCTGTGTTTGAACAAAGTGCTTTTCAGACTTCATCAAAATAAAGAGAGATTTTCTCCACTCACAGCTTATCCTAACTGCAGAACAAGCACCATAGAACAGCAAATAGCTTAGTGTACACTAGCAGTCAAATCAGACTCCCAAATCTCATTGCAAAGGCATTTTTATGTGTTCATGAATCTGGCCAGGATCAAAATTATTCCAATTCAGAGTTTCATATGATGATAAGGTGCCTCTCCTTAAGCTCCAGAGGGTCAACAACCCTATAGGTAGGCTACTGGAAGAATAAGTCAAAGCAGGGTACTTGAAAGAGCCACTGAGAATTTTGTTTCTTAGCTTTCAGACTGTTGTGGTGTTTGAAGCTATGGAATTCATAAGTTTGAGGCCAGGGAAGAATTTCCATAGAATCATAGAATCATTTAAGTTGGAAAAGACCTTTAAGATCATCAAGTCCAAACATTTTCTCCCATGTCCAAACAGAACAACAGAGTGCCAGATATATTGCCCAGAATGGCAAGGGCATATCACATTTAATCTGTTGCTTGTTTCTGAAAGCCATCAAGCATTGCTGACTTCTCCATTTTGTTCTGTACTCTTCCCAATTATGATACCTGCAATGTGTGCAGTGCAGACTTCACAAGGGAGTTGTTGGTGAAACAACGTACTTGCAGGACCAGTGTGTAGACTCAGCCTGAAATGCTAATGAACCTTGGACATAAAAAATAACAAATTTAGAAAAGGACATAATGTATCTAAGGTTTGACTAGATCTTGAAATTATAGTTCGGGATTTTCCTAGTAAGTATCCTAATGGGATTGTTCACAAAGCTGAAGTTCCCCAGTGTCTCTGTGATGGAAAACTTGAGAAAAAAATTCTAGCAGTGTCAAGATATTGAGACTATTTAAAAACTGCACATGGTCTTTGACTAGATGTCCCAACAGTTAGGAGTATTGAAATTATATTAATCCAAACCACCCTCCCTAGATTTGGCAGGAAAACAACCCTATTTAGTGCTGTGTCTGTGGGATCATTAAAGCAGTGTGGGTGGAACCAAACTGGTCAGCTGAAAAATTATAGGTGTTGAATGAATATTTGCTGATTATTATTCTAAAGGTTTATATCTGCTTGGCATGGAGATCCATGGTATGGAGAGTCACGCCTGGCTTCAAATAACCAGTTAGTTCGCTCATTTAGTAGTTAGCCAATAAAAGAGAGTCTCTTACTCTCTAAGTATTTATTTTTCATAGTGAATTTTTCCCAGTTAAGAGTTCTTGATTGCTCAGACCTTTCCTTTGCACATGCAACACTCAAGGTATACTTGTGTTATTTTATTCCATGCTTTGAGCCTTCTTGCTCATATAAGTTGCCAATCATGCATTTATTATGCACCTAGAAAGATGTTCCTTAATAATTAAACAGCACTTTTTTTTTAAACCTCAGTTAATATGACAGTTATTTCCAGGGAACTACTGCCTACCTTGGGTGTCAGCACAAACAGGCTAAGGCAGGCCGCTCAGTTTATTTGTATCACTAATTTACACAGAATCCTAGATGATCTTTTCATCTACACTTGTAGAATATTTAATATAACCTAGAAAAGTGTAACTGATTCTAATGGGAGAAATTTTATTGTTTTTTCAGAACATCTCACCGTTACAAATGCACCATGATCATGTTATGTATACAGCTCACTGTGAATAAACCATCATGAAAATTTCTTTTTTGTAAATTGCTACCTTGGGCTTTTCAAATGCTAAGGATCTGTTGGAGGGGAATTAGTCTAAATGTTTGTGCTAAAGCTGAAAACCTCTGAACCGAAAAACCAAAAGCTAAATGACAAAGTACAAGCATGAGAACCATTATCAGTATTTAATATTAACTTTGTAATTGCTGTTGTCTGCAGACAATGGAAGCCATTGATGGTGGGAAACTCTTTTCCACTGCCTACCTAATGGATTTAGGGGCCTGTATCAAAACATTACGCTACTGTGCAGGCTGGGCTGATAAAATCCATGGCCGTACTGTTCCAATGGGTGAGTAGTTTTGAGATAACAAAAGTACAGAACAGAAGCCAATGTGATCTGTAAAAACCTGCCTTTTGCTTAAAGTTGTGCAACACAAAAAATATCTCAAACAGAAAATATCTTAGATAGTTCTTGATATAAGTTATTTAGGATTTATCATAATGCTAATTTTAAACATTTAGTGCAGTTATTCACATTTATTTATTGTTCTATATACCACTAATAAGTACTGGTTATTGATCAAAATATTTTAGTGTATATGCACATCTAAGAAGTCTGGTAGGTTACCTTTGCATAGCAAAGTATAGTTTATGCAATGGTACAGCAATGAAAACAGGTATTTGCTTATTAAACCTAAGATTAGCACAAACAGTAATATTTCTTTCAGTTATTGGCTAATGTATTAGGAAGAGTACTAAGACTTAGGAATGAGGAAACTTTATTTTGCTGAAATTTCATTCCATTCCCTCTTCCATTAAGCAGCTCTATGAAAACACTGTTCCTAGCTGCCTTTTCTCAGGACAAAGAAAAGAATGGTAATAAAGAAGGAATTAAGGAAAACTAGAGTGATAAATACTTCCAACTTTTTTGCATCACATAGATCTCTATACTAGGCTTAATGGAACGCAGGTTTATTTGAATCAAAGAGAATTTTATACTTAATGGATTTGATTTAAGCTAAGATCTAATATTAAAAAATGTCCGATATGTACCTAGGATTGCAAGTAGCTTTTAAAGGAGCACTTTCCAAAAAAAAGGTGATGAAAGAAAAAAAAAATGTGCTGTGCATACCATATTGAGAAGCAGGGTTATCACTGCAAAAAGTCAGTCAGATTGGCAGAATCAAACCTTGGAGCTATGAAGAAAGTAGATATTGAATCCAGATGTACTTTATGGTTGGTTTTTTGCATAGTTAAGATTTTGAAAATATCATTTATAAGTAAAATTATATCCAGCTAAGTTTGGTATTCAACTTTATCTTCTTTTTGATTTAACTGTTTCTCAAAAATGCTTTGTCTGAATGTCTGATTTCTTTATTCTTCCCCTAGATGGAAACTTTTTTACGTTTACAAGACACGAGCCTATTGGGGTGTGTGGCCAAATTATTCCTGTAAGTTGGAGCATTTATGTAAAATACAAATGTTCCTGTTACAAATGGAAATGCTTTTGAAATTTTGTCTACACAAGTGTATTTGTGAAACATTACCAATTAGAAGCTTTCAGATCCAGAAAGATAGAGACTATCCTGAGTACTCATCAAATTCTGCAACATGGAGTTTTTGATGAGTCAGTCCAGTCCACCCTTGTCTCTATCCTCCCTGTATACAGGGGAAAATAAATCTCAAAAGGTTGACTGATGGATTAGTTTGAAAGACAGAACTGTGCTTTGCTGGAACTGAAAGAATTAGAAATAAACAAGTAGGAGAGAGTAATATTTATAGCCTATAAGCAATAAGCTCTTTAGGACCTGGAACATCTGTTCTGCTCTGTACAGCATCCAGACAGCTGGATCTTTATGACTAAGACTCGTTCACCGTGTTGATGGTACAAGTAACAACACAAAGAATGTGTCCAATAAGCACAGTGATACTAAGCCATATGCTCCCAAGCTCCTGTTCAGACTATCTAAATTCCCAGTTTTGAAGTCTCTTACTTTGAGGATTCAAAAGGTCTGCCTTAATCTGAGCATCCAAAACACTGAGGAATACAACTTTTAAACTTATTTGTGAGGTCTCCACAGCTTTAACGGGTTGCTGTGAAAATGGTTATATGTACTAGGCACTCCTAATCCACCCACTTCTTTTCACATGATAGGTGTGAGCAGCCTGACCTGACCTGCTTGACAGTTTACCAGATGCTGAAATAGTCAGCTTGTATATCAGGTCTGCTCAAACATGTGGGTCCCACACATGTTCCTGATGTCTTTCAGTTGAGCTTGCAGATTTGCCCTCTCTTTAGACCACCACATGGATTTAGAGAACATCACTGGAATACATTTGGATCCAGCCTCTAGGAGAGCTTGGGAATTTGTTGGTTTAGATTCCCTTGTAGGTCAGGCACGGATACTTCAAGTAAAGCACTCAGAGTCAAGATACGCTAAAGAACTAGAAACACTAGAAGTGACCACTTTTAAATAAAAGTCCATTCTGGAAGTACAAATGGTTGGTACAAACACTGGCTTCCCTTATAAATTGTTGAAGGACTTCTGAGCATATCTTTATTTTCTCTCCATTGAAATGTGAACCCACCAAGCAGGAGGCTTTCACGTAAACCAAAAACTTTGAGGACTATGTGAATGCTGCAAAACACTTTTGCTAGCTCTTAATTTCAATTTCCTTTCCACTCGCACAATTCCACTTCAATGATGAAGATCCAGAAAACTCTGTAATCCCTTACTTTGTGTTATTTGTGATCCTGTTATTTTTCGGGGTGGGGTGAGACTGAAATGAGATAAGGAGAGAGATAAAGAATGGTTGCATATATAATCCTCCAAGCCTTCCTGACATAATAGGTAACTGTTAACTGCCTTTTCCCCCACTTTCATAAAGGTAAGACACACCATGTCTTTTGTGCTGAGGCTCATGAGCTCAATGCTTCCAAAACTATTAGAAATATTCTCAAAGGGGTAACCCATTTTTCCCCCAGCCACGTTGTCCCTCATATTGCTGAATACGGGGTCCAAAGCTGTCAGCGTCTCTGCAGCCTGGCTGGTCCGACCATGAGCGAGCCGCCAGTGAAACCTCCAGGGAAGAGGACAGGGGCAGCATTACATGTTATTACCTTGTCTCCCTTAGAAAACTGAATTGGTGATGGATGTGATCATTTAAGATAGCAAAACTCCCAATTTTACCACTAATCCAGCAACTTTCTGTAAGGCTTTGTTAGAGGAGTACACTTATTGTCTCTTGAGCTTTTAACCAAAACCTTGGACCCCCTGGACTCACATATACCAAAATCACTGGTCTTTGTATAGCATGGCTTGCCAGTTGCTTTTTCAAAATATCTGCAATCTGAAGAGAGTTCAACAAAGAGTTTAACCACCCAGTTGACAATCTGCGCTATTATCACAGAAAAATCAAAGGTATTTTGGTAATGTATTAGAAATAGGATACACCTTCTCATCTGTCTTTCAGTGGAACTTCCCACTGGTTATGTTCATCTGGAAGATCGCTCCTGCCCTTTGCTGTGGAAATACGGTGGTTGTCAAACCAGCAGAACAAACTCCACTGACTGCCCTTTACATGGGATCCTTAATTAAAGAGGTAAGTCACCAACAACAGAGTTTTTTGCCCTTCTCAGAAATGTGAGAGTATACTGCAGCTGAAAAGCCACAGAGGTAATATAAGCCAGGCTGTCCTCTGCAAGTACTTCTCATTGCATGTCTAGCCTTGTACTATGGAACCTACCTTACTGTAAACCAGTGAAGCAAATCCAAGGCAAAAGCATGCATACCTTTCAGCCTCGTCCACACATACAAAAAAAACCCACAATAGCAATTTAGTAAACTCCATTCTTTGGCAAACATATCTGTAGCACAAAAGCACAGTACCTTTCAAAGTCAAAAACAAACAAGGAGTCAAGAGCGGAGGACTTAGAGGTGGGTGGCAATGACTTTATTAGCATAGTTATCACAGAAAGGGACCTGTTTGTACAGCTAATTGTTATTATTTTTTAATTGAACAAACTCTTCATCCACCTGGGTTTATTATTAACAGGGAGCTGTAAAACTGAACTGGTGACTGCCAAACTTGTGAACTCTCTTCACACAGAAACTGGGAGAATACACTGTGTGCTCTTGAACACAGGGAGTGTGGTAGTTTCTCCAGTGTCTCCAAAGTTATGTTGACTATTGTGCCCAGCCCAGCAAACACCCAAAGAACAGTTAAATAATTTAGCTATCTTGCTTCCCAATACAATCAACAAATGTAATCTGACATGTTTGAAGAGTTGGCACAGATGTCAGTAATGACCAGCGCAGTAACCTTGCAGGGTGTTAATGGAAATGACTTGGCACATTTTATTATTCTGCTTCAAAACAATGATTCAGCAGAGCATACTGACTGGTTATGCGTTAATATTTCACAGAAAATAAACGACTATCAGGAAGGAGCCAAGTCTTGCCATTATTGCATCACATAGTAGATGTTATTAGATAATACCAGGGAGGAGGAATTACTTTAAAAAAAATATCAGAGATACCTTCTCCATTAATTTTTAACAGTATTAGAAAGTATACTTCTCTGAAAAAGCAACTTCACAGGCAAAGTAACTCAGTTCTGCTCCGAGTCTAATAAAATATTTATCCTGATATTCTGATTTCCTGAAAGGAGAGCTCATAAGTGGGAATGTGATCAGTGGTCCATTTTGTACATGCCCTTACAACAGTTACAAATTGGTAATGACTGGTATAATGCTAGAGCATTTTTAGTAAAAGGCAAGATTATTCTAATTTTACCCATTCATTCAGTGTTCATCTGAATGAGAAGTGTAAGTATATAATTGTTAAATGTCTTTGGTGTATTATCTGGTAGATATTATGGAGCTTTAAAAGAGACAAATATTTATCTTATCAAGTCCTTCAAGATTTATTCACCTAAATCTAGCTGAGTTTTAATTTACACCCAGATTACCCAAATAAAGTTGGAACCCAAATCCCTGATAGTGATCAAAACCTCAGTGATCACTTCAGTAGCTGCTTTAGACTTGTTGTGAAACTATCTGAAGACGTAATTTAACTTCGTACTTCTCAAGTGTCCACATTAAAAAAAAGTATAATCATGTTTGGTAATCCTCACTATCCTACTTAACAGTCCTCACAAGGCTCCTTTGCTAATATATAGAGAATAGCTTCTAATACAGACATAGAAATTAAATGCCCAAAGAGAGACTGTGTGAATTAGTCCCATAAAAATTTTCTTCCTACTTTTCTTTATAAATTAAGTATGAAGCACAATATTAAGCAAATGGAAGGAACCTCATTTTCTCCCCCATTCCAGGGTAAATATTAATTTGGAATATTAAATGAGCATAAAAAGCATTGATAGAATTTATCTGAGCATGAACCTGCAAGGACTCAAAGTTGCTTGAACAAAAATAATTGTCCAGTGTCCATAACACAGGATGTGAGGTTTAGGAGCTGTAACTCATCAGCTGAAATTCCCCATTTTCCAAATGAAAATGGAACCTTTGCATATAATTCCAAACTCCTGTTTAATGCTAAAAAGAGACTTATTTAAGTGATAATAAAGGAGATGAATCTTTTTGGTCTTTCAATTCTACGCTTGCTCTGCAAATGCCGTTGAGATCCCATAGTTGCTTCATAAGCCTGCAGGAAATCCAGCTGCACTTCACACAGGGCGTTTGTCTGACAAGCTGTTGGAAGGCAATAACTTACTTTGCCTATGAATGGAACATAACTAATATAGAATTGGTGGGAAACAATAGGTTTGATTTGGCCCTTAGGAAAAGCCTCATTAAATAGAGAATTTGCAAGATACTGGAACTGTGCATATCTCAGGTAGCCAGCTTTTTCATGCTTGGTAGTGGATATGCCTCTTCTGTGCAGTAAACTCTCACATTGTCCACTCTCAACCCATATTGAGAGGAAGAAGCAAAGACATTGAGTTTGAAGTACTATTTGCATCATTTTTCTTAATAGAATTTCATTGTAAGTCAGCAGATCATTAATTAAATTCCATCTAGCATGAGGGATAATAAGCAGAAATCATCATGGACATGGGATGATTCAAATAGCCTTAATGAACCAGACATGAAATTAAACACTTTTTCTTTACACATCTGACTGGGGGAGAAAAGAAAAAATAAAAGTATTCCTTGAAAATGGTACTGAAAACGAACTAAAATAAAATGTTCTTTTTTTCAAAAAAAAGAGCCAGTTCAATAGCCTAAAAGACAGGTGAGAGAAAGAGGGTGTAAATCATGTGAGAATGAACACATTTGGGGCTCTAGGGCTGAGAATAACTATATGACTGAGAAAAGGTGGCTGGAGAACTGAAAAGGGAAGTAAGAGTATATGAGACATGTTCTTCTAGTCATCATCCTTCCCCAGATTTACAGGATTCTCTCTTCCAATTCAGGCAGGTTTTCCACCTGGAGTTGTGAACATTGTGCCAGGCTTTGGACCCACTGCTGGAGCAGCAATTTCTCACCACATGGATGTGGATAAAGTAGCTTTCACAGGCTCTACAGAGGTACTATAATGAATACAAGAAAATATAAGCAGGAAATGTGCCCCTCTGATTCCCAGTAATGATTTAATGTCTAACTTGTTCTATGTAACCATTTTAACTTTTTTCTTTCTTTTGGCTGCTGGTTTGTTAAACAAAGTCTGTTTAATGATTTGTTGGTTATTATTAACTTTAAACATATTTAAACAATGTTTGTATTGCAGAAAAGCCCTTCAAACAAAGGCACTCCATGAGATACAATAGGTTCTAATAAACCAAGGTTATTTTAAGTCTTGTTCTTTGAAAAAGAAACATTTTCATAACTTTTTGTTTGCTGCTTTTTTTAAGAATAATTGTTTTTAAAAATGAAAAAAGTGAAACAGGCTGTGCTCCATTCTCTTTAATTTTTATAACAACAGGATGGTAGGAAGGTACTTCAGAAATCTCATTCCTGGTTCTGCACGCATATAAGTGAGGTGATGGCGTTATAGTATTTGAATGATACTGATGATCATCTGGGTGGTCTTAGAAGTGTATTTGAATATGTATCAGTTTAATAATTGAAAAGAAAGTCACTGCTAATCTTCCCTAACTTTAACTCTGAAGAACTGTGAGTGTTATAATTGAAGCAATTTCTCGGTGCAGGCATTATATAACTATACCCTTAACACAGTACATTATCTGTCTGTATGCACGCTACATGCAGGAGCTGCCAGCTGCTCTCAACTTGTACACTCCAAAGCCCCATGTCATGATCAGTACCCACTGAGTGCAAGAGCTATGTTTACTTTTAGAAACCTTTAGGTCTAAAGTAACAGGAAAAGAAAACAACCCAAAAACCTGACATCTGAGAAGCAGCCTGCAGATGTTCCCAGTGGACAGTAATAACTACAATTCCCAATGCCCCATGTGCCTCCAAAGGCAGGTAGATCAGAGGGTGCATTCATAGACTTTGGTGACAGTCCTCTTCTTCTCACAGTGTAATTTAGCAGCAAGAAAAGAAGGCAGGAAGCTGTCAGGGGCAGGAAGCTGTCTGATGTTTGCTGCACATGAGCAGTTACAGACCAGAGCCACCAGGACTATAAGAGTGTTTTCCCTTCACTGTTTTTCCAGGACAGTTCCTATTAAGTATTTCCTTTAATTGTTCCATTAATGGAAAGAAGCAGGGTAGGGTTTCTGCCTCGCAGTGTCCTTTCCTCCTCTTCTTTTTTCTAAGGGTGGAACTGGAATAAGAAAGAGTTGGCCATGCAGGCAGTGTGGATATCTACTTTTTTTCTCATACACTTTGTGCATCAAAGCACTTTCCAATGTACGGAGGAATTTCAACCTAGTGGGAGTAACTAGCAGAGCACAAAACAGTGCCTACTTTAGATTTCAGATACAAGCAAGTACAGTGTAAACTAAAAAAGCACCAGACACCTTTGTCAATTAACAAGAGCGTGTCCAGGGGGAAATTCTTCTAGAAAGCATTCCTGGTTTGTAGACTGACAAGTCACCCACACCCTGATTCTTGTTTTCTTTTTTCATTTATTTTTAATTCTACAATTACTGGGATAGTAGACAATTGTGAACTGATTTGCACTTTTGATGAACTCAAAGAAGTGTTACTGAGATCATAATAAACTTTTTGAGATGAAGCTGTCCTCTCCTTGCCTTTTAGGTTGGCAAACTGATTAAAGAAGCAGCAGGGAAGAGCAATCTGAAGAGAGTTACATTGGAACTTGGAGGAAAAAGTCCTAACATTATATTTGCAGATGCAGACTGTTAGTAACATTTTTATTATATGAACCTAATACTTTTGCAAGTCCCATGTTCTTTTTATTTTCTTTGTCAGTAAATTATTTATACCTGTTTAATAAAGGACATAAAAAAGTATGTTTTCTGGTCACACCATAGTTCTAAATTGGTGGCTCCTGAATGGATATGAACCTCTGACAACCTGTCTGCCTTTACTGTAATTACTGTAATTAAGGATCATCCTAATGCAACACGAATGCAGGACCAAAAGCACCTTGATGGATCTGATACAGGTTTATTAATTTTCTAGCTGAATACTCCCTTTGGAACTGTTGATAGGGCAAATAACGTTGAATCTACATTTCACATAGAACAGCTGCATGTTCTGTGCTACTCCTGATAAGAGTAGGTTTGGATAAGCAAATGGATGAATTTATGTGTTTTAAAGGGCCATAAAAATAAAAAGTGCTAAAAGGGGAAATGAGATGGAGTGACAAAAGTTTGTAAAGAATTTACGCCATAACCATTCAAGTTTATGACCTGATGAACTCTGCATTCCTTTGCAGTGGATGCCGCTGTGGAATTTGCACATATTGGCCTGTTCTACCACCAGGGACAGTGTTGTATAGCAGGATCTAGGATTTTTGTGGAAGAGCCTATTTATGATGAGTTTGTTCGCCGGAGCATTGAACGAGCAAAGAAGTATACTCTTGGGAATCCTCTGTTGCCTGAGGTACAGCAAGGCCCTCAGGTAAGTAATGTTATGTGTTTCCAAGACAACTGTGACCCAACTTCACACTTGAATGAACTTCTAAACCTCTTGTATTTGTTTCAAGGCTAAGTACAGTTGTCTAATAGTTAGTCTGGAGGACCAGGAGGAAGAAACTTGAGTAATGGTGGTCTGTGCCACTATCAGAGGCCTAAGAGTGATGTTTCTTTCTCTTTTCTAGTTCCTTTTATGGGAACAATAATATAGAACTGAAATGCTTTGAGAAAGCTCCAGTGCAACAGTGGTAAATGTGCAAGTACAATCACCCATGTCAGAGATTGCTAAAATTATATTCAAATAGTGCCACTGTAAGTGAGTATAGAAACATATAATTATGGAATCATTTGGTTGGAAAAGACCTTTAAGATCATTGAGCCCAACAGTAGCTGTCCACTACTAAACCCTGTCTCTAAGCACCTCATCTACCCATCTTCTAAATACCTCTAGGGATGGTGACTCAACCACTTCCATGGTTACCCCCTTCCAGTCCCTGATAACCCTTTCAGTGAAGAATTTTTTCATAATATCTAATCTAAACCTCTCCTGGCGCAACTTGAAGCCATTTCCTCTCGTGTTATCATTTGTTACTTGGGAGAAGAGACAAACACCCACCTCGCTACAGCCTCCTTTCAGGTAGTTGTAGAGAGCAATAAGGTCTCCCCTCTGCCTCCTGTTCTCGAGAATAAACAACCCCAGTTCCCTCAGCCACTCCTCATAAGACTTGTTCTCCAGACCACTCACCACCTTGGTTGCCCTTCTCTGGGTACGCTCCAGCACCTCAATATCCTTCTTGTAATAAGGGGTCCAAAACTGAACACAATATTTGAGGTGTGGCCTCACCAACGCTGAGTACAAAAGAAGAATGACTTCCCCTGTCCTGTTGGTCACACTATTCCTGATACAAGACAGGATTACATTGGTCTTCTTGGCCACCTGGGCACACTGTTGGCTCATATTCAGTTGGCTGTCAACCAGCACCCCCAGGTCCTTTTCTGCCAAGCAGCTTTCCAGCCACTCTTCCCAAGGCTATAGCATTGTATGGGGTTTTTATGACCCCAGTGCAGGACCCGGCACTTGGCCTTGTTGAACCTCATACAACTGGCCACAGCCCATCAATCCAGCCTGTCCAGATCCCTCTGTAGAACCTTCCTGCCCTCCAGCAGATCAACACCTTCACCGAGTTTAGTGTCATTTGCAAACTTGCTGAGGGTGCACTCAATTCCCTCATCCAGGTCGTTGATAAAGATATTAAACAGAACTGACCCCAACACTGAACCCTGGGGAAAACCACTTGTAACAGGCCACCAACTGGATTTAAGTCCATTCACCACCCCACCTTGGGCCTGACCATCCAGCCAGTTTTTTACCCAGCAAAGAGTATGCCTGTCCAGGTCATGGGCAGCCAGTTTCTCAAGGAGAATGCTGCGGGAAATGGTGTCAAAGACTTTACTAAAGTCCAGGTACACTGCATTCACAGCCTTTCCCTCGTCCACTAAGCAGGTCACCTTGTCATAGAAGGAATCCAGGTTAGTCAATCAAGATCTGCCTTTCATAAACCCATGCTGACTGGGCCTGATCTTCCGGTTGCCATGGATGTGCTGTGTGATGGCACTTAGGATGATCTGGTCCATGAACTTCCCCAGCACCAAGGTCAGACTGACAGGCCTATAGTTCCCCAGATCCTCCCTCCAGCCCTTCTTGTAAATGGGCGTCACATTTGCCAACTTCCAGTCACATGGAACTTCCCCAGTCATCCAGAACTGCTGATAGCTGATGGACAGGGGCTTGGTGAGCACCTCTGCCAGCTCCCTCAGTACCCTTGGGTGGAGCCCATTCAGCCCCAAAGACTTGTGTATGTCTAATTAATTGGCTGGCCAGGTCACTATTTCCTCATGGATCATGGGGCTTTGTTCTGCTCCCTGTCCGTCTGCTGGGTCAGGGGGCTGGGTATGTGGAGAACAGCTGACTTTACCATTAAAGACTGAGGCAAAGAAGGCATTAAGTACCTCAGCCTTATCCTCATCCTTTGTCACTATAGTTCACCCTGCATCTGGTAAAGGATGGAGATTCTCCTTGGCTGTCCTTTTTTATTCTCTTTCACAGAACTGGCCAATTTAAGTTCTAGCTGGGCTTTAGCCCTTCTAATGTTCTCTCTGCATGACCTTGCAACATCCTTGTAGTCTTCCTGAGATGCCTGCGCCTTCTTCCAAAGCTCATAGACTTTCCTCTTTTTTTCTGAGATCCAGCAAAAACTCTCTGGTCAGCCAGGCCAATTTTCTTCCCCACTGGCTCATCTTTCAGCATATGGGGATTGCCTGCTCTTGTGCCTCCAGGATTTCCTTCTTGAAGAGTGTCCAGCCTTCTTGAGCTCCCTTGCCCTTTAGGGTGGCCTCCTAAGGGACTTTGTCAACCAGTCTTCTGAACAGTCTGAAGTCTGCCCTCCAGAAGTCCAGGGTGGCTGTTCTGCTGAGCTCCCTCCTTATTTCTCCAAGAATCGAGAATTCTACCATTTCATGGTTGCTGTGCCCAAGATGTCCTCCAACCATCACATCACTCACAAGGCCTTCTCTGTTCACAAAGAACAGGTTCAGTGGGGAGCCTTCCCTAGTTGGTTAACTCACCAGTTGTGTCAAGAAATTGTCTTCCACACACTCCAGGAACCTCCTAGACTGTTTTCGTTCTTCTGTATTGTACGTCCAGAAGATATCTGATAGGTTGAAGTCCCCCACAAGAACAAGAGCTAGCAATCATGAGACTTCTCCCAGTTGCTTGTAGCGTATTTCACCTGTCTCCTTCCTGAATGGGGGTCTATAACAGACTCCCACCATGATATCTGCCTTGTTGGTCTTTCCCCTGATTTTTGCCCATAAACACTCAACCCTATCATCATCATCATTGAGCTGAAGGCAATTGAAACACTCTCTAACACACAGGGCTACGCCTCCACCTCTCCTTCCTTGCCTATCCTGCCTGAAGAATTTATAGCCATCTGTGGCAGCACTCCAGTTACATGAGTTGTCCCACCACATTTCTCTGATGGCAACTATATCATAGTTTTTCCGTTGCATGATGGCTTCTAATTCCTCCTGTTTGTTGCCCATGCTGCAAGCATTGGTATAGAGTAACTTGAGGAAATAAAATTTAATAGTGTTTTCCCCTTTTTCAAGGAGTTAGTGTTTCATTATGCTGCTGTCAGTTTTAGAATATTACACAATTAAAATGCATAATTTTGCACATTTTCCTGTTTAAGTTGAAAGGTTATGCCAACAGCTTCCCCATTAAATGAAGTGCTAAAATGCAACATCAAAAAACGTGACTATCACAATGCTGTGGATTCAATGGGTCAGATTAGAGCATTGTTAAGTTAGTTTTCATCTAGAGTCTTATTCCCACACCAGTTTGTACTACAGGATATATACTTTCTTGGCAGAGCTCTTATGCACATATTTGATTGTCACATAATTAAGGAACTATATTAAAGACAAAGCAAAAGCTGGAGACAAAGCAACTTCCACACATTTGATAATGTAATGTGTTCTTCACTGGTTATCACAGACATTTCATATAATCAAAGACGCCAAGTAAATTGGAAAACTGCATTCTAAGCCACACAAACTTTGGAGAATTTAGAAATAGTAAGGATGTTACTATTTGATATCCTGAAATGTGTCTGGCTAACAAGCTAATATGTTCAGCTGAATAATTTTAAATGCCAGAGAATAGGAAGTTTGAAACAAGTAAACTCCAGGTGTCTGGTGTACAGCTAATACAAAGCTAACAAGAATCTGCTCTTGTTATTGTGGCTTTACTGAGTTTTAAATTTATGCTAACAGTTTAAATGAGACATGACAGTAATTTTCACTAAAAGAAAAAAAAAAAAAAGGAAGGTTGAACATGTGGAAAAAAGCATTACTAAAACATTTGAAAGAACATGAAGACTTTTTATTCTTCCAGTCTCATCATTTGCCTTTCTTGACCTCTTTTTCTTCTCAGCAAGCTTTAGCAGAAATCTTAATTTTTTCACGGGTTAGGAAAGTTTCTCCTTTTAGAAATGGTATGATCCCTTTTAATGCAAAATTGTAACCATGCAGTTTAGGTAAATTTCTTTTGTGGTAATTATATTAAATATCTCTCCTTGTCTTCAGATTCCTTGTTGTGCTTTGACTATTTTTTTCTAGAAACAATGACTGGGCATATTCACTGTGCTCTCTTGTCATACAGCCTCCTTGAAAACCATATTTGTCCTCCAGTTCGCAGGTCGTCTGGGGCAACACTGTCTTCAGGCAGCAAATTTGGGCAACACTTTGCACAGTGGGCACCAAAGAAGAACCAAATGCCCTACTGGAATTCAAAAGATCATATATATGCTAATTAACACTTTATTAAGAAAAATAATTATGATGATAATAATAACAAAAGAATGACTGACAGCAATGTGAGCTGTATCATCTAAACATCTCTTCAAGAAGTTTATGCACAAGAGATATTTGGCCACCAGGGTAGCAGAAATTTTATGTCTTCAGCATGCAGTAAGGCAATTGTTTGAAAGCAGAATTACAAAAGTAGACTAAAAATCACCTCCTTATAAATATCCTTATAAATTCATATACTTATAAGCTTTTGTCACAGGTTTAGTTGAATAGCTGTTTAGTCTAAGACACAGCCAGGACTCCCAAGAACCTTTGAAAATATTATTGTGTTCTATAGTCATAGTAAAACTTGTTGCTTAAACTAAAATGTGACCTTTTTATTGAACAAATAGGAGAATAAGATACACGCCTACCCTGCTGATTCACGAATACGATCACAGAGAAGAAGCTTCTGTGCAGGAGTTCCCCTAGAATTAATCTCAGTATCTTCATGAGCCAGAGTTTAAAGAGTTGAAGTCTGAAAGAGTGAAGGAAATAATCATGAAAATGGAACAAATAAAAAAAAAAAAAAAAAAAAAAAAAAAAAAAAAAAAAAAAAAAAAAGAGGGTGTTAGAGACCTCTACCAAACAATCTTTACCATTGAGTTTTACATGACATAAATGTACATGTTTTCCCTTCATGCCTGAAGTGGTGATTGGTTGATTTGGAGAGGGAAGGAGAGGAAACAATGTGTGATCTGTTTCTAGTCCACATTTACACTATTTCATTTTATCCACTTTGTCACTGAGAACTGGAAGGAGTTAGAGAAATATAAGCCCCTTCTGTATGGCCACCATAAACTCCTCTTCCAGCCAAAGACCATGCATGTTGCTATACTATAGAGCCGAACTGCAAGAGGCTTGGCATATGTTGAATTTGTTGGTAGGCTTGGGCAAGTGGAGGGGCAGTGACTGGCTTAATACCATAAACAATCTGCCATCTGTATTTCTCAAACCACAAACGTACGTGTCTTTATTCCACTAATAAATCAGAATGAACTGAAAACAGCATTGAATTCCAGTTATATTTTTATTGTTGTTTTTTAACTTACTTTAATAATTTAGGAAAACAGTATGACCAATCCACTAGACCGAGTTAAGTAAAAAAGGTCTTGCTGGCTAGCTCAAGCTCTCTGTTATTTTTGCAGAATCAAGCTCAGCAATTTTTATTTTGATGAACCATTTGCAGCTGGCCAGAGTACTGGGAGAAGTATAAAACACATTCATTTTATAGATTTTTTTTTCTTTTTTTTTACTAAAGAAAACCGGGATATCAGTCACTCTACAGCTGATTCTCCTATGTCAGAATTTCTGATTACTGGTCTATTTGAGAAAAGCCTGCAAAGTTTTGAGAAGATAGTGACAAGAATATTTGCAGGGCTCTCCAGCTGTTCCACCTCAACACTTGCAATTGAACAAAGCAGCAACATTGTTAGGTTTTGGTTAATGAGCTAGAAGAACAATTGTTATCAGTGTGTGTTGTTTTCATCCCCGTAATATCTTTTCATTTAGATTGATAAGGAGCAGTTTCAAAAAATCCTGGAGCTAATTGAGAGTGGGAAAAAAGAAGGAGCCAAACTGGAATGTGGAGGAGGTCCATGGGGAGACAAAGGTTACTTCATCCAGCCCACAGTTTTTTCTAATGTTACAGATGATATGCGCATTGCAAAAGAAGAGGTAAATAAATTCTTGGCAGTCTGTGCTTTCCTTAGAGATTGTCTGTTTAAATGTCTTTACAAAATATCCATTTAGAAGGTCAAGTGGCTACATAAAAATGCTCTCAGTAAATCTGTTGTTCCATCCTGGTGGTGTTTTAAGTGCTTTTCTTGGTTTCTGATGCCCATTTCACCAACTCAGTGAAGGTGAGGGAGAGAAGTGCGAGGCTGGCCTGCCAACAAAGGCTCTAGCTTAAGCTGGCGGTAGATAAGAAATGCTGAAGTTCGGATTTTTTACATCACCCCATACTGCCCATGTATCAGAGTCACAGTAACCTGTAACAGAAAAGCAAACCTTGAAGCCACAGCTTGTGAATTCTTTGCACTGTCTAAGGAGCCACGTAAATTGGGCATTGGACACAATATGCACCAAGCAGCTGGTTTGCAATAGGAGAAAATAGATTATGCCTCCCCAGGTATTTTGTTGGTGGCTATTACAGCAAAGCAGAGTTTTGCCTGTGCAGGGTTATTTAACCTGGATCAGATCTGTCTACACAGCATTGAAGGAGCTTTTACTGATCCAACTAAGTTGGCAGTGCCAGGGCAGCAGTGTTCATCTGCAAGGAACAGGAGAGAGTTAGGACTGCAGAGCTGCTATGCCATAGAGAAAAATTGTTCTGTAAACACAGCCTCAAAGTCCAGTCATGACCTCTCCTCTGTGTTATTTTACATTCACCTTGACTAATAACTGCTGCAATTGTGCTGCAGTTGGTGTCCATTATACTTCTTTATACTAGAAAGCTCCTTCACGATGGTTACAAATCTAGGTGTTGTTTTATATAGACAGTGATGTTGCTGATGCAGTCTGCTGAACATACCTAGTACATTCAGCAAGAGTCAACAGGCTTAGTTAAAATGAACACCAGAGCATCTAGAGTTAATTGTGACAGGGTATATATACATATATATATATATATATATATATACACATATACAGCTGTATAACAGGAGAGAGCTGTATGAGAAATAATTTTGATTGTTTCTGCCGGTCTGGGATGCAGGTAGGAAGCTGCACAGATGTTTTTCCACAGACTACTTTCTTTTCTGTCAGCAGTACAAGAACTGCTTCTCTCATACTATTTTCAGTGTATTGAATAATGAAACCCCAGAGAGCCAAGGCAATTTAAAGAATATCCAGGTTGTGAAACTCACAGCTTGAACAGTGGGGGAAATTCAGTGGTTTTCTGTTCTATGTAAACCAATCCCTGCAACTCTAGTTGTAGAAGTGCTAGAAACTAGCACTAAACACTTTCTAGGAAAATCAAGTGGAAAGCTCAATCTATGGGAACCAAAGTCATCAAATGTAGTAATGCCCCCCTGCCCTACCGAGCCTTGGAACTGTGCAGTGGGCATGGGCACATCTGGAAGAGAACACAGAGTGGCAATAGTGAGAAAGCTGAGCCTGAGTGACTATTATCTTGCATAATACCCATATGGAAAGCAGAATTAAGTTGCTTCACTTGGTGTACATGCCCAATTGTGCAGCTACCTGCAGAGATAGAAACCTAATAGAAAGTTTAGGGGAAGGAAAAGTTGAATGTCTTTCTCAGCTCTAAAACTTGGAGCTTACCAAGAAAATACTAGTTTATTGGTAACCAGTTTAGATATATGACTGTGATTCCATGCTAACTACCTTTATGGTGGGTGTCTTTTCATCTTTAATTATTTGCCTTCATAATTTACCATTTATTTATTTATTTATTTATTGTTTTATTAAGCATTATACAGTAGGCTACCTTGATTCTCTCTATACTACAAAAATCTTACCTTTATGTGAATTTAGAACTCTTTTTAGAACTCAGTTCTGAGATGTAAACTCTTGAATGAATGAATTCAGGAATAAGGCCATCTGACAGAATTAATTTTTGAAATATAAAATATTTACAATAGTAAGCTATACTATTCCACTTCATATGTTTACACGTGTCTGAAACAGATATTTGGACCTGTTCAACAAATCATGAAGTTTAAAACTGTAGATGAAGTTATCAAGAGGGCAAATAATACTACCTATGGCTTAGCAGCAGCAGTTTTTACCAAAGATATTGATAAAGCACTGACGTTTGCAGCTGCTCTTCAGGCTGGAACAGTGTGGTAAGTAATGGCTTTTTTAATTCTTCCTTAGAACTGCAGGCGCCAGTGGCAGTAATTTTGGGATATTTTAACACTTCTTTGGGTGGTATACCCAAAGAATGTATCTATTGAAATATATACCTTGAAATATATATATATATATATATATACACACACATTTCAATTCCTTGTCATCTTTGGAGAGGCAGATTAAAGCCATCCTCCCGTGTCTCTCTTCCCCTCACCTTTCCATGCTTAACATGCTATTAAATAAATATTTCTTGTAAGTCTTCATACAATTGTCCTGTAAACTTAGTCTGAAAAAGGAAATTAACTTGCTAAAAAGGAAAACATATGAAAGTAAATACAGTGAGAGTGTTAGTTTCCTTTCTATTCAGGATCTGGGGATAGCCCAACACATAATTTACAGAGATTGTTTTCTGTACGGGGTAAAGGAACTAATTATCTGAATTTCTGTGGCCATTAACTTGGTCAGAAATCCACCTGTGATGGAAAAGATTGCTAAAATGTGGTTGAGAAAATTAAGGAAACACAAGTGGGGGAGAACTGCTACCAGTACAAGGACAACTATTTCCATTGATGGAAAAGAAAGAGGCAACTTGCCTGGAAAGGCAAAGGCTGAGAGATGCAAGAGTGAAAGCTTGGAGGAATAGCACACTGAGTCTAATGACTATCACTGATAGAGATGTGCATTTCTCTACCGTTATCTCAATGCATCAGAAAGAGAACAACTAATTTTACTTGAACGCAAAACCTGTATCCAATTCACATTTTATCTAAAAGAACTTACAACCAGCACAAATTCCTGCCCAAGTCCTGTAACCTAAAAACATACACTTTCTAAAAATATGTCAACAGTTTTGACTTAGGAGTTGACATTCTTTAAATGGATCAAAGTTTAAAATAATTGTGGAATCTTTGGTTTTTACTCTTACATGATTGCTGCTCTGTCTAGGAGACGAATCTGTCTTTTGTTGAAAACAGTAGACTGGCAGCAGGAGAAATTATAAGATATGAAAATAGAGAATATCTGATTTGGCAATGTTGCAAGGCAAAAAGAGCTTCCCAGCTAGGCAACAGAATGCACATTCTGCCAAAACTCTTCATGCTACAAATTTCCCTGTGAAATTCCTTTCTTACTCATGATTGTATTTTTATTCTCAACCACAATACAGAATATGGTGTAACATTCAGTAGAACCAAAACAGAACTTCCTAAACATATCCTGAAGCGATCCTGAATTCATCTATTGGAAGTGCACCTGCAGAAGACTTAACTGTGACTAGTCTTTGGTTTGAGAGCTTATGCACTAGTTAGGAAAGAATTTTATCATAACTATCAGAGAAAGCTATGACTGTTACTCTGCTTGAAGACCCATGAGGAGTGTTAGAACCCTGATCATAAGTGTAGGTTCTAGTAATGCTTTGTTTCTCTGAACCTCAAAGTACACAGATTTTTGCAAATATATTACTTAGATATAGTTTGTGAATATCACCATAGTTTTTTTAGTCAACAAAACACACTGATTTTTAGAAGTGAAAAAAAGTTGTTTCATGCTGTCAAAAGTAATTTTCTTGTTCTTCCAGGGTTAATTGTTATAGTGCAATGTCTGCTCAGTGTCCTTTTGGAGGTTTTAAGATGTCAGGAAATGGACGAGAAATGTAAGTAAATACATTTTAAAATGTAGATTCACAGGAACTTCAAAATGAAATTCTAAAACCCAACTTTAAACATTCATAATTAGGATGTCTAGTTTGAGATTTTGTCAAATTAGTCTATATAGTGTTTAGGAGGCTTCATTGTCAGAGACAATGTCAAGCAAAGAATTCCTCTACAAAACAAATAAGAAAATTGCTTAGATACACATGTTTTCAAAATGACCATTTTTATTAGCTTACAGTCTACTGAAACTCAAAACTGATCATTGTGTTTATGGTTTACAGTTCTTGCATATATATAGAAAGTGTCATTTGCATAAAGATTTATATGTGTGTAGTTTGTGGAATCCCCTTTAAATGCTAGGTTTTTGAAAACACAAGACATTTCAAAATCCGTGATTTAAACAAGAGGTTTCAGTTTAGAAGTCTTGTGACAACAATGTTTTTACAGTGCATTCCAATTTGGTCAAAAGTTATGATAAAAATGGTCATCTGTAGTCTTCAGACCTTTGGTCTTTTCCCAAACTAGAAGTGGAAGGGTGTGCAGAAATGATAAGCTAATCAAATTCTTTCAAACTTCTATGGTTTAATTTCAATTTGAAACATGTCCTGTCTTGCCTGTATTTATCCTGATCTTCGTATTAGCAAGAAAATCATGCAATGTGTTACATCATGAAGCAATTGATATCATGCAAGTTTATTACATTACTTAGAATTAATTCTTCTGGGTTTTTTTCAAACAGAAATCACAAGAAGTCCTGTGTTAAAAATGCCATATAACTGGAAACAACAAATTATTTTTAGAGCAACAAATGAAAAACAAAACATGGATGTTTTCCCTTTTATTAAGCCAAATGCATAGTACTTTTAATGGAAAATATTAGTAATTAATGAATGCATGTGCAGGTGAAGTGCTTCAGATCTTCCTTTACTCTTTTTTCTTATTTTTCTTAAGAGATAAAGGCTAGGGTTTTTATGCTTGCTTATCACTGGACTCAATCTGCTCCTGATGGCAAAGGTCCCACTGACTTCAAAGGAAACAGAGTTATGCCAAAGCTGAGAGTATTCGAAAATGTCAGAATGAAAAAAACACAATAATTTAGGCCATTACTATCAAGGACCACTTTGCATTTGCTGCATGCCAAAAATTGGGAGATCATCAATTATGAATTACAGCCTTTTGCAGAAATATTTTAGGTATTTATTTGCTGGAAATAACAGGAAAACAATAATAGGCCACAAATAAAATAAAACAATAAAATTAATATTCTCTAAAACAGTACACTTTGAAGGAGTTAAGCTTTTTTTACAAATTAAGTTTTCCGTAATGCTTGATTCAAAATCACAGTTCATGGGACAATAAAAATACTCCTGCTAAAGGGCAAGGAAGGAATTAACACCAAATAGATGTCTGCCATGAAAAAAAGTTTTATAAACATGTGGCAATCAATTTTAGGAGAGCTGGAAACATGTGAAACAGCTGCACGGAAATAATCAGGAAGTCAGTCTATAAAGCCATTGACTTCCTTGAATCCAAGAATAAAATTCCTGTATAATTCTTGGAACGATAATGCCATTGTGAATTAAACTACTGAATGTCATACACTAACAGAAAGCCTCTTCAAAAATGAAGGGAATCAGTACATGTTTTCCTACAGCATGAGAGTCCTGAACACAAATTTGTTTTGCCTACATATGTACCTAGTAAGATGACAGTGAGAAGTGGATAACATTATACAGTAGCAAACTGTTGTTCTATAGAACAATCAATTATGTCTAAACAGTTTGCGTCAGATGTCCAACATCTAGGCACACAAGCAAGCTTCATCTCATCATGTAAAATATAAAGGTGGAATCATGCTAATAACATGTCAGTGAGATTTAAGTGGTTTTCACTGTCTGGCAGATTTCACAGTGGGTTAATTATGTCCCCCATTTACTTGAGAAGAAGCGTCTATTCTTTGACTCTGGAGAAAACTCTTAACATCAGAGGAAGGCCTTTGCAAAAGACTTGTTGAGCATGCTTGTGAAGACCTAACATGAGCCTGACTGGCTGCACAGAAACACAGTTTAGACATGCACTAAATTGATTAAATGCCATTCTTTCGCACAGAAATGAAATTGCTCTCTCTCCCATTTTTCTCAGGAGGCTCAAGCTTTTTGAAAGGCTTCTAGCAGCAGTCTAGATGCACAGATGTCTTCTGAATATGTCCTGTATACTTGTTATACATCTGGCCAATTGCACAGCACTACCGAAAATCCCATCCAGGACATAACTCATATAAAAAGCATTAGCATAATATTACTCTTGCTTCTCTTTTATCTAGGGGAGAATATGGCCTTCATGAATACACAGAAGTTAAGACTGTCACAATCAAAATCCCACAGAAGAACTCATAATGCTGCTTGAGGTGTTGAGGTGCAGAATTTAACATCTTCAAATGAACCTAAAAAGGCTATGTGAATTCTGAAAAGTTTTATATCCCAAATTATTCATTAACCTTTTTGCTTTCTGATTGTATAAGAGGTACTTGCTTACATTAACAATATAACAAATAATGTAGAAAATTTTAATGTGATTAACTGAGAAAAGGAAACTTTAATGTCCACTACATAGCTAACTAATTTTGAAATTCTTGTTCATAAAGAACTATTTTTTATTCTCAGTGGAACGTCTCTGTAGTGCTATGAAAATGTTCCTTTTTCAATATATTCTACAGGTACAGTTTGAATTTATGTGCTTTTCTAAATGTTAGATGGAAAGCTCTCTTTGCTTTTTCTTTTCTTTGTGGCCTTAACAAAAGCACTTATGAGTAATTAGATAGATACTTTCCTGTGTCTTTCAAAAATAATAGACTTCTTCTAGATATATTTCTTAGACTACTGTTGTTGATCATTTTGCTACACAAATGTAACCTGGATAATATTAAACTATATTAAAGTCCACCTTCAAAACGTAATATTGCTCCTTTCATTGGTCTTTTATATTATATGGGTTTACCAGTGGGCACTATGAAGCATGTTTTATAACCATAAAGAGGCACTACTGTATCGATGGTGTGTTTAGGTTATCAGAAATATACTATACTGGCTATATGGAGACTAAAGTTCCTAATTCTTTGACAGTATTATAAATGGAAAAATCTGAACACACTGAACACTGGACAATTTGCAAAGAACCAGCACTTGCCTTTGTATTGATAAGTATATGAAGAAGTCTTAACAGGTTGCAAGCAAGAAATGTTGAAGGGAAAGAATAGAAGGGGAGATGAGGAAAAGCAATCTCCTTTGTGATTGATACCTGCTCCATTTTTCCTGTACTCATATGCCTGCACATAACTTGCATGTTTTCCTCCCTCCTCTCTCTTCATCTCGTCCATTGTTTCCCTTCATCCTTTCTCCTCATGCTGTTTTTCATACATCTGCTTATTCTCATAAAAGCCCTCTGTATGTGTCCCAAGCTGATCATAACCTCTAAGGTCTCTCAGTATGTGAAGCTTCAGTGTTTCACAACTGTCAGCCAGAGCAGCTATCAGCACCCTCTAATGGCCGCTCACCATCAGCAGCCACCAGATAATCTCTGGGTCAGTTGTCTACAGACACCAAGTACAGCATTTACATAGCCTGCTGCTGACAGGGTCATATTTTCTCTGGACTGAATCCAGAGCCACAATTCAGCTCTTGTTAGAGAGGTTCAGCCTTACGTACAACCTTACGTACAAGCTCTGCCTATTAGTAAGAACATAGCACACCACAAATTTTTAAGCAGCAAGTATGGAGAATTTGCACAGTATTGAAAGGAAAGAGGTTTTGTTCATTTTGATATGCTTGTCAATTTTTATTTTTTTTTATAAGACAGTTAAAACAAGGCCCAGAACAGGCTTTCACCCTATGAGTCTTCTCTGGATGCCTTTTTTCATGAAGTTAAGAACTGGACATAAGACTTGTGGTACACGTATATCTCTCCACAGGCCTCTACATTACCTGTTCTTGAAAGGTGTTAGCTCCAAATCCCATACATATGACTCTGAAATAATTTCATTAGCCATAGTTGTCAGACAAACCCAAAATGAGGAAACATATGATGAAATGAGTAACAAAATTATAGAAGAAGGGAAAGAAGAAAAAGTGAATCAAAAGTAAATTTGTACTGTGCCAATAATTAGCAGAGACTGCTCAACAGAGGAAAGTGTACAGAAGAAAGCACAGAAATCAAAATAAATGCCAAATAAAGGGAAAAGGAAAAAAAATCCTGAAGAAATAAGCTGCACAGAAGAAAAGAATGGCAAAACACTCAAACAGACTTTAAAAGTGGTAACAAATACAGTATTAGAGAAAATCTGGATACAATGGAAGATTAAATACTTATAGACAGATGAAAAACAGTATATAGAGCAGGTATGGATCTTCATAAATCTCTACTGTCCAAATTCCACTTTTGCTGAAGTCAATTGTAGAAGTCTCAAAGGAGGACAAATAAGCAAACTGACAGTAAGTCTACACTTGCATTTTGGTTTGGATAAGGAGTGCAGCTCTGAAATTATATTCCTGATCATCCCTACTTACCTTCTTTGGTTCACATGGAAGAGTGATACAGGGGAGCAAAACTGGGTGCCTTTTCAATGACATTAAGCCAGAAGATGCACACTTTGCCGATGTCTGGTATGATCCAACCGCTAATAACCATTCAGCTCTTGGAAGCAGACTAGGCTAGCCTGAAGCAACCCCCCTCTGAATGTGTACTATGTGGGCAGTTGGTTCTCATCTCCTCACAGTGTCCTTTGGCAGCCTAGGACTAAAAATCCAGTCCCATCAGGCTATGCTGCTTGCAACTGCAAGCACAAGCAAAGAATGACATTGAAATACAACCCAAGGAAAGAGAAAACCCAACATAAATAGAGGGTTATAGGATAAAGATCAACTTGAACCTTGCATGCATATATGTATTCTTCTTTACAATGCCTAAAATATTTTAATACTGTTCTCAGCAATATTGTAGATCTATTTTAGTTCATTTGACAGAATATTTCTCTTATTTATAGGTGAAAGAAAGCTGGCAATGGTCTTGTTTTGTCAATTTAAATGTTTCAATGTTATCAAAATGTAGCATCTGGTAGTAACTTTAAGTTCTCATTTTTTCCAAAGCCTTATGTCAGAGAAGTGTTTCCATGTGCATATTACACGTGAGAGAAAGTGTGAGAGAGAGAGGCAAAAGAAGGCAAAGACTGTCGTTCATCCAAAGTGAAACAACCAACTTTTTCATCAGAGCCAACTATAGCTTTGGGTTAACCTGATGACACGCTGAAGTTGTTCCCCAGAGATGCCAATGTAAAGAGATACACCTTTTGGCATCTGGTAGGTTTAAGGAATTCAACATGTGTATGTTTGCCTAAAGCACTTGAGATGTGTTTGAAGGAAGCAAACAAGGGCTCAATAAATTGCATAGTCCAGTTTACCTTACAAGAGTACATTAATTCACAGTGCATGGCAAAGTGTCTAGCCAAGAAGAATTTCAGAATATGGTCCCATTTGTTCCTGAACCATCCAGTTACTAACTCAGAGTCAAGGTTGGGAGTGGATTTCTCTCCACAATGCATACACTATTACTACTAGTACAATATCTCTGTGAGTACAAGAATGTCCTTTCACAATTAAGAGTGTTTGTAACTGTGTTCATAGCACTAAAGACGCCATCTTATGGTGAAATATCTTTGCTATGTCTTTGCATTATACCTGCACATGGGTACTGTGGCTTGTGATCATGCAGTCTGGGCAGGACTCCACAAATATTACACAGGTAATTAAGGACACCCTTTCTTTCTGGGCTTGAATCACTATCGTGTTACTCCTGTTACATGCCAAAGCACCACCATTGAAATTTACTGGGATTAAACACAAGAGCAATAGTTGATCTCTATGTAAATATTGCTTATGTTAGTGAAGTTGTAGTCAGCATTTCACAGAGAATAAAAATTAACAAGAGAAGTGAGCTTGATACACTTCCTTTCAAAGCCCCTGAAAACTGACTGATATAATCAGCAGCAATTACTAAATTTATATTTCACATTTGGATTGAAGTGATATTTTTCATATAGTTCTTCAAGGCAGCGGGTACCTGAGTAAATAATGTACAGCAAAATTCCAGCCCATCTGAATGGGACTATTTCTTTTTCCAGTGAACTACCTTTCTATCCCCTTAACACTATTGAATGTATACCTTTAATTTTGATGGAAGTGTGACCAAGGAGATGTTTTTGCAGTTTTCGTGGAAAGTTATGTTTCAGGCAGTTTTATAGCATATAGAAAAGCAAGTCCTAGAAACTTGGTGTCCTTAAAGCCATTGTCTTGCCATCACTGAGGCCATCCCTGCCCCCTACCCTGCCCCTGACACACTATTTTTTTAAGTGGAAAGCTGTTGAATGTCAACATCGGGATAGAGTGACCCTCAGGCTATTTCAGTCAAAATAGTGAAGCTGTAAGGAATTCTCATTCTGTCTCAAGAAAGAAAATTATTTATAATCCTTGACTGCCAGATATCCAGGTCTTAAGACAGACAAGAGAAGATATGGAAAAAATATTCAGAGCAAGAAAGGCATCTGGCTTGGATAAGAAGTGAAAATTCCCTGATGAAGTAGGTTTTAGGGAGGAATTTGAAAGATGTGAGAGCTTGGCAGGCAAAAGGGCTTGGGGGGAGGAGAGTGGCATATTCCATCTGGGACACAAAAAATAAGTGCAAAAGGACAAGTGCAAGAAAAAGAGGGAGAAATGAAGGGAGCAATAGCAGAAATATAAGGAGTCTGACGAGGAATGAAAGCAAAGCTAAGAATCACCCTGAGATTCTGAAAGATCTCACAGTACGATCTCATTGTAATTCTGTAAGAGTTAACACGAAGGGCTTTAATAGATGAAGTGTCCTTCCCCAGCCCCTCCATCATCATGTTTGCTGTCAGATTGTATTCGACCTGCCTGATCCTCCTGCTCTCCCTCTTCTCATTCAAGTCATGCTCCAGTTCTCTTGATGTTGATGCTGTTTTCCACCTATTCCTCTACTGAAAAGTGAGATTTAAATAACTCCCTATTAGGAAAAGTCCACTTCAAAATAAAGTAGCAAAAAAAAAGTCTCTGAAAATTTGGGAATAAGAGTTCCCTGTGAACTAAGTGGGAGGCCCTAAGGACTGAATTATAACCTTTGCTATGCTGAGAGAAAAACAGTGGCTTGATGAATATACAGCTCTGGAAACAAAAGTTAAAGATCTGGAAGCACAACATAAACTGTCTCAGTCAAATAAAATGCTGTATAGTCTCGTAGGAAGGACATAAATCACTTGTTGCATGAAAAATTAGACAAGCATAAAGATCCAATAAACAGAACAGAGTATTGTGTGGTTTGACTGTTGAAA